ACATGCCTGGCTTGTGGGCCAGGTCCCCAGTAGGGGGTGCTCAAGAGGCCACCACACACTGATCCTCTCCCTCTCTTTGTCCCTCTATTCCCCTCTCTCTGAAAATAATAAATAAAATCTTTTTAAAAATGCCAAGTTCACAGATAGAGAAGGTTGGTGGTGTGAGGCAGGTGATGGGTGGTGGGTGAAATGTGTCAACAGGTACAAACCTCTGGTTGTAAAGCGAGTAAGCGATGGGATGGCATGGACGGCAGGGTGACTGTAGTCAGCAATGCTCTGCTGCAGGTTTTGAACGTTGCTAAGATCCGCCCTTAATCTCAAATACATGACAGAAGCTGCGAAACTGTTAATTTCCAGAACATTTGAGATCTTGCTCCCCAGCATGTGTCATCAGTTTGGCTCAAATAAACTCTTATATTCTCAAAACATTCTTTTTGGCAAGAGTAGACCTTAAAAGTTACTGTAGGAAGCCCTGATCTGGTGTGGCTTGGCGGACTGGGTGTCCTCCTGCAAACCAGAGGTCGCCAGCCTGATTCCCGGTCAGACACAGGCCTGGGTTGCTGGCCAGTCCCCTGTTGGGGGGTGTGAGAGAGGCAACCGGTGGATGTTTCTCTCACACATCCATGTTTCTCTCCTTTCCTTTCTCCTTTCCTGCCCCACTCTCTAAAAATGAATAAATAAAAGTTAAAAAAGTTATCGCAGGAAAACTTGTGAAGGGTATTAACAACTATGTTGCAATATATACAAATGTTAAGTCATTATATTGTGCACCTGAAACTAATATAATCTTCTATGCAATGACACGGTGAGAAAGAAAGAACCATCGCAGTGAACTCAGCCACAGGCCCGAACGCCAGCAGCGTGGCATTTCCCATCCCTCCCAGCCACACGCTCCTCGGTTGTTGTGAACCCCTGCACACACCATCTTTCCTGTCCCAGATGACTGTCACGCTGCGGCAACACTGGCCTTCCCCAAGTGCCCCTTCCAGGCCTAATGTTGAAAGACCCTCCCTTCTGAGGTGCTACCACACATCAGATGAATGCTGCTCTATCGAAGGTGCAGGCCCGGAATTATTTTATAACAATTTCACACCTTAGCTAGGAGGGGTCTTTGAATATAGAAAACGTCCTTTTGAAAAAGCTTTCTTTTAAAGACACCTGTCCAAGTGCTACGGAAGAAATGGGATGGCTGCGCCATGCTTTAGAGGAAGGGGCGGGCACAGATGCGGCAAGACGGACAGCCTGGGTGAGGCCCAGAGCACAGGCGCAGGTGCTTGGGTTTTTGTGTTTTTTTTTTTCTCCAGTAGAAAACGAAACAAAAATACAATCCTGGGGTCACAGTAGTCAAATAACGACACTGCCCAAAGGAAATAGATATTTGCAGCAGTGATCTAGAAAACTCCAGTAAAAGAAGCCGCCCCTCCTCTCTGTTGATTATTGGCTTTCCTTTTGCTACTCTGCCTCCCAAAACGGTTAAAAGGTCACGCAGGCATCACGGAGGGTCCCCCCAAGACAGAAACTGTTCCCAACGTGGGCGGAGACAACGATGCGGGAGGGTCTGAGAGCTCACTGGGGCGGAGTGGGGAGGGGCCTTAGGAGGAGGTTGCCCCAGGCAACGGTAAACAGCCTCGGACGGGATTGGCTGAGAAGTTGAACGCGAGCGGAGTGCGTGGGATTATGGGCCACAGCGGTTCCACAGGGAGATAAGGGCTCCCGGGCTCCCGGGCTCCCGGACTCCCGGACCGGCTCCCTCTGGCTCCTTCCTCAGGATGCCTGCCTGCGCTTCCCAGCAGAAGGTATTTCGGAGGGATGTGAGGTGGGTTTGGCGTGGATTTTGGATGGATTTTGGACGGGAAGCAACTGCGGGCAGAGCCCGGGGTCGGCCGCCTGGCGGCGGGCGGCGGGTGGTTCTTCCCCTGGGGCTCCGGAGGGGCCGCGCTCCGAGGCAGGAGCCTGCCCCTCCCCCGCCTTGTGGAGCTGTTGTACGCTACGCTGCGGCAGTTTGCAAACCAGGCCTGCGGGAATGAGGTCATTGAAAAGTAACAGGGCGCTGCTAGAACTCAGGTGTTGGAGGTTAGCCTTAATTGACAGGCCTGAGTGATTAAAGCTGGAACAAAGAGTTAATGAGTTTAGCCTTAATTGACAGGCTTGAGTGACCAGTGCCCGTGGAAAGCCGCTATTCCGAAACGGTGAGGTTTTTGAATACGGACTCCTTTCCTTTGTCACCAGACCCCTGCCTCCGGAATTTTGGAGGGTGGGAGCAGGCGGCAGGAACCCACTTGCTGTTCGGTAACAGCGGCGGTGACTGGTGGGGCCCTGCTGCCTGCGGCTGGCCGACCCCGAGTGGGACTGTGGGTTTCCCAAGCCCTGGGAGCCCCTCTGCGCGCCCGCTCGAGGTGGGGCCGCCTCCACCGGCCTGGCTGGTGAAGAGGCACCGGGTCTGGGATAAGGCGGTGGAAGGTCCGGAGAGGACTGCTTTGGGGAAGCCACTGTGTGGGGACCACGGTTTGGGGGCGGGTGGCAGATTTGCTCGTGAGTGCTCTTTGGAGTAACGGAGTTGCGGGTCCCGGTGTTGCGGGTCCCGGTGTTGTGTCTACGTTCTCACGCTGCTTGGTCTTTTCTGGTTGTGGCTCTGGGCTGGGCGTCCGCGCCAGGAAGGGCCGTGCTGTGCTGGCGCTCGGAGGCACCCACTGGGTGTAGGACCTTGGTGGACGGGAGCACGTGCTGCCAACCCCTAACGTGGACGGAGGCGTTGATTGGTTATTGTCTCGCTGTGGGGCCCACGCACGTTTTGGATTGAGGCCAGGTGGCCTGGCGCGGCTCGCTAAGTTACACGGAGCCGTGATGCAACGAGCGGCACTGCCCGCAGTTGCAGGTGGGGTGCAGCCCGGTGTGGCAGGGCGCTCCTGTCCTCGCAGAACGGGGCTTCGCGGGGAAGGGAGGCCTGGGTCTCCTCCTGCCGGCGAGGCACAGGAGGGAAGGGGAAACGAGGTGACCCTCGCCAGTGTGCGTCCCTCTTTCTGGTCCTGCCTCGGAAACCCAAGAGCGAACGGGGTGACAGGGTTTTTGAAGTGCACAGTATCACCTAGGAGTTATTTTTGTGAAGAGATGCAACAAAAAATCCCTCTAGAGAAGTTTACAGGAAATATAGGGAAAAGAGGGGAAAGAATTAAATAGCATTAGGGTGCATTCAGTAAAATCTGCAATTAAAGGTAATTCTACAAGAGGACTTTCTTCAAAAATTGTAAGAAAAACAAAAAGAGAAACTTAGATGAAAAAGAAACAAGATATCAACAAAATGTAAGGTACAAATCTTGTCTGACTTCTGGTCCAAACCAACCGTGAACAAAATCGTGGGGCAATCAGGGGATCTGCACGCTGAAATGCGGTGTTGGGTACGTGAAATACGCTGGTTGTCTCACAGTGATACTGGGCTGTGGTCTGAAAAGGGCCCCCTCCTTAGACACGGTGGAGTCCGCAGACGTGGGAGTGAATCAGCCTGAAAGGGGCTCATGCAGCTCCACTGGGAGGCGGGCTGGGGGGGAGACAGGGAGAACCACACTGTCCTGGGTGACCGCAGGACAGCGGCTGAAGTTGGAGGCGCTGTGCGTGGGGTCCGTTGTACTGCTCGCTTTATTGTTCTGTAGTTTTGAAAACTTCCATAGTAAAGTAAGTTTTTAAAAATGAGTTTTGTTTTGATAGTGTTGCACTATAAAACATTTTAAATTTTTTAAATGAGGACTTCCAGTCGTAAAAATATTATCATAAGCACCCTTAACTGGTACCTTAACTTAAATTTTACCAGTTACTTAGAAACTGACAAACAATTTTGAAAATACTGTACAAATTACTGAGTATCACTTATCAATAAAAGACCTCTACAGGTTTGAATTCTAAGCCAAGTGTAACTTCCATTCTACGTAAGCATGTGGGCTCTGAAGTCAGGCAGCCCTAGCTTTGCATCTGAGCTCCGCCACCTCCTGTCAACCAAATCAGTGTTTCCTGGCAAATCATTTCAGCTCTGTGAGCATCAGGTTCCACGTCTCTGAAGTGGGGGCAGCAAAATGCCTGGGTCAGCACGCCCCTTAGCACAGGGCCTGCCACACAGTAAATCAAAGGATTCTGCTAGCCTTTTTCAACAATTCTTTTAAAAAACGTTTTATTTTTAGAGAGGGGGAGGGTGGGAGAAAAAGAGGGAGCGAAACATCAGTGTGTGGTTGCCTCTCTCGCGCCCCCTACTGGGGAGCTGGCCCACAACGCACACATTGCCCCGACTGGGAATGGAACCCACGGCCCCTTGGTTCGCAGGCCGGCACCCAATCCACTGAACCAGCCAGGGACTATTCCAACAATTCTAAGTGCCTATCTGTGTCAGTGCACCTTCTGACATCTCTGAAATTGGGGTGCATCTTGTCATTAATGTCGTATTCTAGTTAACGGGCAGTTTCTCTTCCTTTAGTGGTATGTAAAGTAATGGTACATGCTGGAAATGGACAGCATCTAAGATTCGATATAATACTGCTATCAACCATGGTCAAACTACAGTCCCAGATTCTTACTTAAGATTATTATGAGGACATAACTGATTTGAAATTAAAATTTCAAATCAAAGTATGAGCAAAATATTTCCAACACATCACAAACAGAACAGTTTTGAGACACGTTATTTTTGTAAAAAATGGTTTATGAATTCCATTTTTGTATAAAACCCATGGGAGAAACCCAGCCAATCAACACACAACTGCTGACACGTGAAAAGGTACTTTTATCAAACTGTGACTCTAAGAACGTACAAATGTCTCCTTTGTCGTGTCTACAGGAACTGTCTGTGCTCTTCCACTTCCTGTGTTTGAGACGCCGCGCATCCCCACCGTTCCCTCTGTGCTGGTTACAGCGCGGTGACGGAGGAGGAGGGCCGGTCGGGACAGCGTGCTAAGCCGTCTTCTGCTGCCCTTTCTTTCCAATCAGAGACTTGTGGATATGAGGGATCACACCTGCGGTGAGACAGAGGGGAAGGTGTTGTCATCAGAGAGAACGGGGAGCTGGCTGCCATCTGACCATTTCAGCGCCTCAAATCAGAGAGAGCAACTACACACGGAATGGACCTTAACGAAGTCTCCTCTCATGACTAACCCTATGTAAGTATCCACACCAAGGGGGCCCACACCTTGGGGTCTGGGAACCTCTCTAGGACTGTATGTAACATGATGTGATCCTATGTGCTTAAAAATTTTTTCTTAAATCCTCCCCTGAGGATTTTTTTTCATTGATTTCAGAGAGAAAGGAAGAGAGAAAGAAAAATGTTGACACAAGAGCGAAGCACTGACTGGTTGCCTCCTATATGCACGCCTGGACCGGGACTCCTATGTGCCCACACCTGGGATCGTCCACGCCCACATGGGGGATAGAACCTGCAACCTTCCAGTTCTGGGACAACACTCCAACCAACTGAGCCACACTGGCCAGTGATGATTTTATGTGCATTTTGGGAGAATAGTAACCACAACTTTCAGAAGGTTCTCTAAAGGTGACCCAAAAAAGGGTTAAGAGACACCAAAATATCTCTCACCTTCACTCAGCCCTGATTTTCAAGGGCATCATATGAAGCAATTTCTCAAGGTCATTTTTGAAACACACACAATGAACATGGGAAATATGTTCAACACCAGGTTTTAAATATCATGTATGAAATTTAGATAAAGACTTGCTATACAAGGAGTATTTACTCAAATGGTAATGAAAAGAAGCCTAGAACTGTAATAAAACCTAACACTTACAAAATGTAAGTTTTGTAAGTTTCCCAGTTGGCTGAGGAAATGCGCTGGATCGCTGACCTGAATTATTTATTAGTTAGAAAGGCCAATACCAATCAGGGCTAAAGAGGTCATAATACGTACCACCCCCAGCTATGGTAGCCTTGATAAGAGAATCCAACTCTTCATCACCACGGATCGCAAGCTGCAAGTGACGTGGAGTGATCCGCTTCACTTTGAGATCCTTGGAGGCATTCCCTGCCAGCTCCAGCACCTACAAAGCACCAGTGGGACAGCACATCAAACAAAGGGTGAAATGCAGGATTCGTTGTGGACTAGCAGTTACAGCTAAAAAGATCACTATAGCATCTGTGCATAAAATGCACAAAAATATACAGAAACCAACAGTACATTTTTCTTTTTCATATTTTTAAAGATTATATATATGAGGGAGGGAGGGAAACAGCTATGGGTGGTTGCACCTTGCGTGCCCCCTACGGGAGACCTGGCCCACAACCCAGGCATGTGCCCTGACTGGGAATCGAACCGGTCACCCTTTGGTTTGCAGGCGGGTGCTCAATCCACTGAGTCACTCCAGGGAGGGCTCTTTTTTGTGTTTTTATGAATTCTGGGCTATGTGTTACTACTACTCCAACAACAGACTTGGCATTGAATGGGAATGTAAACACATGGACAAGTCCCATCCAGTACATGTGAAAACAGCCAGGCTCTTGAGAACAGATTCTGTCTTTCCTAAGGACCCCTGCCCTTCATGGAGGAGAGAGGTCACAGGCATGCCCAGGAATTCCAAAAATCATTTATTCATATTTTAACATAGAGCTCTCATGACTTCATTTGGCCTTTTAATACTCATTCCTGCAAGAGCACTAGAAACTTGAGCAAAAACCTACTTCTATGAAAAGAAGCCCAAGGGCAGCACTACTCCTCCTGTTCCTCAGCCGACATTCTGAATGTGAACATCTAGAAAGACCACAGATTTTCACGTATTCATGGAGTCTTATTTGTGTGTATAGCCCCTAGTGGTGGAATTTCTTTCTTAGTACTTGTAGAAAAGGTAAAAAATATAAATAAAATTTTACTCAAGGTATGTTAACATCACTGGGCCCTATAATCTGTATGCAATAAACCAGAAGACCTCTATTCTATAATGGAGATCTTCAACTGGAGGAATTTCAAAGTCCCAGCTGGCCACAGAAGAGCCTTTTTAAATTTTTTTATTTTGCCCCTGTAGACTATACTGGCATTGTAAACCTTTAATGGAACACACAAGTAACTCCACAGAACCTCCACCCTTAAACAGAGCGGCAGAAGTGACTGGTGGGCTTTAAAGCCCACCGGAACCCACTCGTTTTCCCCGGGGACTTTTGCTGGCCTGGCACCAGTGTCTCCTGAAGGCTCCTGAGCGACCCTGGCGGGAGGCCAGAGTGGGAAGTAATTATCTCCCCTAATGACTAAATTATTTTCTTCGCCTCTACTAACAACGAAAACCCCAGACTTACATATCTGAAAACATGTTGACTGTTCACAGGTTTACTGTCTAACTGTGCCTTAATAAACTGTCATCCAAGTTTCCAAGAATAAAGCAAAGGGGAGTTCAGATAGGACTCCAACATCCTGAGCCAGAAGACTCTGCCTCCACGGAAAGCGCACCTTTCCGAGCGGTCTGATGCTAACCAAAAACTGGCGTACGGCCGGTAAGGGACGTGCTCAACCAGCACCACACCGCCAAAGAGAAGCCCCTGGTTCCCAACATGGCAAGGCTGAAACTCCTGGTAATTTAATCTTAAGTCTCCAAAGGGACACAAATGACCTTGTGAGGTTAATGAAATGACAGCAAAAGATCATTAACATACAGGCTGAACCTGAGTCTTTCTCAAGTAAAAACCTTCCTTGTGCTTCCTCTGGGTTGGCTACCTCTGCGTGTGACCACCCACGTTCTCCCCAGGAGGCGCTGGGGTGGAGCAGCGGTGGTCCACGACCCCCTAATAAAACCTCCCGCCCAAGTAACTCATCTTCCTGAAAAGTGACACTGAGCATGCTACAGCACAGGATGCATACAACCATGCGCTGAGCCAGAATGATCAGTTACGTCTTTTGTCAAAGTTCATGTATTTGTGACTTTCAAAAAGGTGTCATCACTCTGGCAAGCCGTTCCCCCTCCCCAAATCTTTAGGAGATCATGCCGTAACTTCTGATTGTATACGACTTCCGAGTTCACCCAACAGTATATAGTATTTTAATTTTTACTCTCCTTCAGCAGCTACTTAAAAATATGGACTGCCAACCACTGCTTAACCTTAAGAACGAGGTGCACAAGGTTCTTTCTGACAGTGGTCCAGGGTAACAAGCTGATGAAGACAGATCTAAAAGTGCTTTTAAAAAGGCCGAGTCTTTTTTGCTTCATACCCATTTTCCATGGCTCCAGCCTTTTCTACTCTGAAACTTTTGGACTTCCCTGTCTAACACCCCCACACACCTCTGCAGTGAGGTACTCCAGGATTGCGGCGCTGTACACGGCCGCGGTGGCACCGACCCTTCCGTGGCTCGTGGTGCGAGTCTTCAAATGTCTGTGGATGCGGCCCACGGGAAACTGAAAGAGACACCGTCTGAATGAGAGGCACTGGAGTGTCAGCCAAGGCAGACAATACGAACGAAGCGTGAAGTTACGAAGTGTGGTTTCCGTGTTAGAAGCCCCACCTGCCAGCACTTGGCAGTGGCCTGTGTGCCACGTCCCAGTGCCCAGCCCCAAGCCTCCAGGCCCGCATCCACCCTCTCAGAGGAGAGGGTGGCGGAGTTAAAAGGGCTCGAACCACCACAGGGTTTCACCAATTAGCGTCTCCATGGAACGAGGAGAAAGGCTGCTGCACAGCGACCAACCGCACACCGGTTGGTCTCTGCCCCCGGGTCACTCCCTCACAGGGCAGCCTCTGCAACCCCCACCGCCACACCCTTCGGGGCCCCGCCCTGCCCTGTCGTCCCTCGGTCCCGGTCCCGAGGGCTGCCTTGAGGAAAACAGTGCCGTTCTCTCACTGCAACTCCACTCCCTGAGAATGGGAAGTTGCTCACTTCCAAAATGCCCTCGGCGCCCCCTGTGCCCCTGACTACCCTCACCCTCTTCCTGGCCCCCCAGGCCAATGGCTCCTTTCCCTCCCCACACTCCACTGAAGACCTCTCCCTGTCTGTGGCAGCTGCTTCCGCCACAGCCCAGGCACCTTTGCGAAGGCAGAATCTGAACGCAAACCCCGAAACACTCTGTCTCCCACCTTCTCCCAGACATGCTTCTGATTAGCACTCTCCTTCTCCTTTTTTGATTAGCACCATTCTTGAAGTTGGAGAGTGACGTGTTAATGACCGATTGTATTCGCCATCTGTAGGTGTCATCCTTAAGGATAAAAGGCATTTGGGGGTGGGGGGTTACATTCCCTCCCTGAGTAATTCTAGCTCCCTAAGAGCAGGATCAACGCCTCACTCAGCGATGCGTCCTCAGTGATCAGTGTGTCGTCTGACACATAGTAGGGCCTCAAAACCCATTTCTTCTTGGGTTGCAGGTTAGGGTTCTGGCTCTCCCTCAGTCTCGCCGTGTGTTCTCTGGGTGGCGCGCTCCTGTCCTCGGGGCCCTTTCTCACACTCTACTTGCAACCACTCAGAGCACGAGTCACCAATTTTACAAAATGGTTTTAAATTTAATTCTTTCGATCACTTCTCTTGGAAAGCTTGACGCAAATCTATTAACTTTTGGACATTTTCACGTGGCTGTTTTGGTAGAACTTCAAAATGATTTTGCTTAAATTCTTAAACCTTGTAACTTGTCCCTCCCACAAACTCCTGTGCCCCTTAGTTCAGTTCTACGGCCTGCAGAACCCTCCCACTCTCCCCCAACACCACCCCCTGCCCTTTCTGGGAGCATACCCACGATCCTGCTCCTTCCCATCTGTCCTGCTTTAACGCAATGTGTGTGACCTCATTCCTAAAACCACTGCAGCTGCCTTCATCCGACTTCCATCCCCCACACTGCAGGTAAATTCCCCTTGAGGTTTACGTGGTGCATTAAAATATAAAATGTAGCCTTCGACCTTCAGTACCACTGAGGGCACTTGAGAGCACGAGAGCACTTGAGAGCACCGAGAGCGCCTCAGCCTCTTGCTCAAAAACTTTCCGTGGCTGACCACTGCCAAGAGGATAAAATCCAAACCTTCCAGTCTGGCCTTCAAACTCTCCTGTTTACAAAGTGTCTCCTACATACAGAGGCTAACTCTTACTCATCCAGAACATCACTTGGTGTACCAAATCTCCTGGGGAAATATTCAGAGGATTAATAGGTAACTCGTTATTCTACCAAAAATTTTTATCTCATCCTGAAAGTTAATGCACCACTACAAATGCCATCTTCAAAAGAAAAACCATAGCATAATCATTTCAATGATACAATTTATAAAAGAATCAGGAACATAATTATAATCTAGACAAGAGATTTAAGAGAGCAAAATTACCAAATTAAGACGTCTTCATAACTTGTTCTTGTTTGGTAGAAGAGAATACAAATTAAAAGACAACTGCTTTATGATTTAAATTTTGACCAATTAACCTCATTACTAATGACCACTACTAAATTTTTGTAATCAATGAAACATCTGCGGGTCATGAAGTTACAACAGTAAAGAACGGAATGTAATAATAATGAATGACAGCACCATGGATACATTACCTGTAGCCCAGCTCTCTGTGAACGAGACACTGCCTTAGCCTTGGCCTTCCCACTGTCCTTTCCAGCTTTGCCTCCAGCCTATGTGAAAAAAGGCTCCAGATGAAGATGCTATTTCAAAAACATTCCGGAAACAAAATGCTTTCTAGTTTTACTTTAGTTAAAAATATCTAGTTGGTGTGGCTCAGGGCATCGGGGACCAGCCTGCAAACTGAAAGGTCTCTGGTTCCATCCCCAGTCAGGGCACACGCCTGGGTTGTAGGCCAGGTCCCCAGCAGGGGGCGCACCAGAGGCAACCACACGCTGATCTTTCCCTCCCTCCCTCTCCCTCCCTTCACCTCTGTCTAAAAATAAATAAATAAAATCTTAAAAAAATAAAGTGGCAGAACCATTTTAACAAATGAGGTACATCTGTGTGCTGATAAAGAGCAACCCACTGGCTGGTGTCGCTCAGTGGATTGAGTACAGGCCTACGAACCAAAGCGTCGTAAGTTCAATTCCCGGTCAGGGCACAGGCCTGGGTTGCTGGCCAGGTCCCCAGTGGGGGCTGTGCTAGAGGCAACCACACACGGATGTTTCTCCCCCTCTTTCTCCCTCCCTACCCCTAAAAATAAATAAATTTTATATATATATATATATATATGCAACCCAGAAAACATTTTTTCATGAAAGATATTTGCAAGTGAAGGGAACTTGTCTATGAAGAAACGGAATATTACAGTGTGTGTACGCATACATTCGAGAAGGTCACACACTAAGTTAGAAAAATTACTTGTCCCTGGGGAGGGAATACTAAAGATCTGACAAGAGGGAAGCTAATGTTCCTTTTTGGACTGTCTGATTTTACCATTTGAATTTATTATTTCTTCACTGCAAAAAAAAAAAAATACACCAACCCCCCACCAACCAAAAAACAAAAAACTGTTAAAAGAAGAACTAAGTTTACAAGATTGGCCACCTGTTTGAGGGTCCATATTTTTGAAGTAGAGAGTAAGCACTGAAATGGCATTTGCCCTTTGTAGTGATTTCCCTAAAAAAATTTTTGAGCAAAACACCAACTGCGAGGGCCCCGGCGAGGTACTCAGTCGGCCGACAGCCGAGGTCACCGGACGGATGGGTCCCGGGTCAGGGCGCAAGCACGAACCGACCAACAAACACGCGGAGTGGAGCAGCGAATCCGTGACCCCTCTCTCCCCTCCTCTCCGTCTTTAAGAAAGCCCAGCGCCGCGCAGCCTGCTAACAGAATGTAATAATCTGTTATAATCTGGGTGCAGGTCTCAGCTACGTCTACCTCCGAGGCCCGCCCGCACGGGAACGAGCAGCAGCTGGGCGGGCGGCGGAAGAGAGGCTGAGAACGCGTTCACCCCGCCGTCTCGCGCTGAACACCTTGGCCGGAGACTGACGCGCCAGTGCGACCAGGGCGTCTCTGGGTCTCCCCAGCACGCCTCGCATCCTCTCGTAACTTCGGACCCTACTTCTCTGCACTTTCTTGTTTCTGAGGTCAGGGCAGGCAGCAGTGTCCACCCATTCCTCGCAGACACCCTTCCGCTGTTCGCTCCGGCAGAAAGCGCCCGACAGCCTGCCAACCCGGCTCCGCCCAAGCTTCTGAGCGCCGTGCGTCGGTGAGCTGTGAACCACGAACCGCTACCAACGAAACGCCACCGACGGCCCGACGCCGCAGGCGCCCCCGTGCTCCTGAGCAACTTGACCCCTGCTGCTCCGACGCACCGAACTTGTTCTGTCCTCTGGCTTTCCGAGAGAGCAGACACGAACTCCGTTTTCGGAAGCCGCAACACCGTGAACCACTACTCCCAAGGCTTGGAGGATCCAGATTCGCCTGGGATCCCCAACGAAGTCAAACTTCTGCGGTATCGCGCGCACAGAAGACCGCTGCCTTCTCCCCGTAACTCCCTCGAACTCTCTGCCTACGAGTCCGAACGCAGAGGGCGACCGGCCGGCCGCGGAACAAAACACCAGCCCTGCACACCCTCCACCCCGAGCACGGTGTCAGGGCGCGCCCGGCTCCGGCGTCCGGCCGGAAACACACCTGCGGCGGCGCCGGGGCGCACTTTGTTTTGTTCAGGACCCCGGCGCGGTGCTCTAACGGGCCGCGCTAACTTCCGCTCAAGCGTAAAACCCTACGGGCCTGGGTGACAACTCAGTGCCCCCGGTATTTTTAGCTGCCGGTAAAGCGACACCGGTCTGCAGCACGTCGCGAGTTCGCGCGTGACCGCGGAGAGCACCGGCAGGGCTGGGCGGACCGACTGCGCCTCGCAAGCCCGCGAAAAGGCTTCGGCGCGGGCGCCGCACGGCCCCACCACGAGTTAGGGACCCGCTCGTCCCCGCCGAGCGCAGCGTCCCGGCCAAAAGCAGCACCACTTAGCGCTCGGACTCTGTCGAAGGCGGCGCAGGTCGGGCCGCCAGGCCCCGGCTCGCCCGCCGCCGCTTGCCCGCCCCGCCGCCGTCACGCCGCCCTCACCATGGTCTCGGCTGCTCCCGCCCTCGCTCCCGCCGAGCCACCGCCGCTGCCGCCGCAGCACCGACCGCCGCCGCCGCCACCGCCGTCGCCGGACAATAACCGGGGCCCGCCTCGCGGTGCTCCGGCCAATGGCCGCTCGCCTTGCTGGTTTGAACCCCGGCGGCTGCCCAATCGTGCGTCTCCTTCTAGTTAGGCCCCACCCCCGGCCCCTCCTCCCTAACGGCTGTTTGTTTTTGCACACGGCACGTGGGGGCGGGGTCTCCAACCTCAACGCGGACGCGCCTGTGCGCAGGACGGGGCGGGCCACGCGCCGCTCTCCGCCTATGTCCGCGGCGGAGTCTGACGAACGGAGGGACGGACCAGTGAGGGCAGAAAGCTCGCGGAAGTCAGCCAATGAGAACATTGCCCGCGAGTAAGGGTGGTGGGTCTCCAGGAACGACAGCAGGACTCGCCAATGCGATGAGACTGGAGGCGGTGGAGGTTTTCCCGCGCGTTCGCGGCTCTGTTTCTCTGGCTTCTCAGAACTGTTTGGGAGAGAGCGGCCGTAGCGTCGTTTCTCCCCGCGGGTCTTCCGACCCCAGGCTCGTTAGTGCAGCGGTACTCGCGTGGCAGAGGGCGCTGACGCCAGGCCGGCTGCTCTTCGGGCCGCCTTCCCGCCGGCGTCAGGACAGCTGTGGGGACGCCGGGCGGAAGGCAGGGGCGCTCGGAAGCGGCCGCTGCGGCGCTGGGAGACGGCCGGAGGGCGGGCGTGTCTGTCTGCTCACGGTCCCCCCGGGCCGACCGGGCGCTGGCTCCTCGGGTCGCGTCCCACCCGCTGCGGCCGCGAGCCGACCCGTGTTTTCACGGTGCTTCTCCCGGACGGTCGGGAGCGGGGCCCACCTCCCACGCGGGGGTCTCCAGGCTGACATTTTAGAAGTGTCGCCAAGTGTGAGTGACCTTGTGGCGGGAGGAGAGGTAACGAGTCGGAGGAGACGAGGGCCGAGGGGAGGAGGGAGGTCGGGGCGTCGGGGGCGTGGAGCGAAATCCGGAGGGAGACCGAGGGGGTAGCGGACCGCGGCGGAGCCCGGGCTCGCGCGCGCCTGCTGTCGCGCCGGTGGCCTCGGCGCGGCGGTCTGAGCGACCCGCCGGGACGTCCCCGTGGGCGGCCCCGCGCGTGTGCAGGTGACGGCAGCGGAGGGGATGCGGGGGGCGGGGCTCGTGTCCGCGGCTGCTGTCGGCGCGGCCAGACCCATCCCACGGCGGGCGCTCACTCGCCCGAGCCCGCGTTCGCTGAGCCTTCGCCCGCTCGGGCTTCTGCCCTCGCAGGAACCGAGCCCCTCTCGGTTGCCCGCCCCCTTCCCCGCGTCCTCCCCGGCGTCCTCCCTGCTCCCCGGCGGGGCCACGGCGGCCCTCCTCGGACAGGAGCCCAATGCCCCTCAGCGTGTCCTCGCAGACCAGAGGGGGAGCCACACTTGGTTTTTAAGGCGCCGGGACGGGCTGGAGTCCGCACCGCTTCCCCCTCGAGGTGGGGCCTGCATGGGCGAGCGCTCCGTGTCCCCGGGCCGCCTGGCCGGACACCTGTCCACTGGAACAAGCAGCGCCTGGCGACAGGTTTCCGCGACGCGCAGAGAGCTCGCTCGGCCCCGCGCGGCAGGCGGTCCGGTGAGTGTGAGCTTCCTTCCCGCAGGGAACGCGTCCTGCCCGCTCCTCACCCCGCTGCTTCGCGGCCGTGGCCGAGGTTCCGATGGACGCGCAGGCAGGGTCAAGTGAACGCTTTCGTCGCACACAGGAGCCGCTTCACCGGCGTGTGTGTCTAGGCACGGAGAGCCGGGCTGAAGCCCGCAGAATGAAGAAGCGCGGGTGGAAGTTTCCTGGCCTCTGCAAGCAGAACCGGCCTGCTGACCACGTGTGTTGGCGAGAAGGGTCTAGTCTGCAGCCAGCCGGCTTTCCAAGAAGGCGGCGTGAGCTCCGCAGAGGCACCGTCTAGCGGGCGGGGTGTGGGCATGAGCGCTCGTGCGCGGCGCGCTGCCGCGAACTAACAGTGAGTGCGCGCTCCCTGGCCCAGCAGCCTCAGCCTCGCCCCGGACCGCTTAGAGGTGCGGATTCCGACCCCAGACCCAGCCTGCGGGGTCGGGAGGCCGCAGGCGCGCTCGAGTCCGAGAACCGCTGGGACGGTGCAGGCCGAGCTGCGTGGTTCTGAAGACCGGTTCCGCACAGAGGCAGTGAGATCTCCGAGCGGCGCGTGCTGACTGATGGCCGCTCAGCGCTGCCTTCCCAACAATCGTGCCTGGCCCAGAGGAGCCGCCTTGTCCGTGGTCACACCCTTTTCGGGGGCCGGGGCCTCCAGTGACCGACTGCTGCGTCCTTTGCCTTGACCTGGGGCAAATGAAGGGCCCTTCCGGCTCCAGCTGTTCCCGTGTGACCCTGCGTCGCAGTCCAGTCCCCCCACGTAGTTCTGCTTCCCTCACCGCCTCAGTCGTGTTGCCAAGGGCACGGTACACTTCTGGAAGGCAGTCCCTGTGCTAGAGCCTGTTTCCTGGGAACCGACCTCCGGCAAGTTTAGAGTGAGCAGTGTATTCACACGCACAAAATGCGGAAGGAACAAAGCACTTCCATTTACAGTAGCATTTAGAGAACAAAGTGCTTGGGAAGAATTTCAGAAAAGAATCGCAAGACTCAGACTCTTAGAACCACTAAACATTCTTTTTTGTGTGTGAGATTTTTAAATTTATTTTTAGAGGGGAAGGGAGAGAGAGAGAGGGAGAGAAACATCAATGTTTGGTTGCCTCTCACTCACCTCCTACTGGTGACCTGGCCTGCAACCCAGGCCTGTGCCCTGACTGGGAATCGAACCAGCGACCCTTTGGTTTGCAGGCTGGTGCTCAATCCACTGAGCCACACCATCCAGGGCCCACTAAACATTCTTGAAAAAAAACTAAAGATTTAGGAGAATCCCAGCTTGTTTCTTTGTAGAAGCTGACAAGACCATTATAAAATTCATATGGAAATTCGAGAGAACCAGAATAGCCAAAATAATCTTGAAAAATGATGACGTTGAAAGATGCACACTTCTGGATTTCAAAACATACTACAGAGTTGCAGTAATCAAGATGGTGTACTGACATAAGGACACACACAGACCGATGGAGTAAGTTAGAGCCCTGTGGTCATTTGGTATTTGACAAGGGTGTCCAGAAAATTCCGTGAGGGCCCTCGCTGGGTAGCCCAGGTGGTTAGAGTGTCGTCCCGATACCCCGAGGTGGTGGGTGTGATCCCTGCTCAGGACACACAGGAGTCAGCCAGCGAATGCACACTTTAGTAGAACTGCAAGTCAATGTTTCCATCTTCTTCAAAGCAATAAATAAAATTACTTTAAAAAAGAAAATTCAACGAGGAAAGCACAGTCTGTTCAACAAATGGTGCTGGAATTTCTCCTTAAGGGGAATTTGCTTTCTTTTCCTCATTTACGTAGAAAGTGGATCCTCAGGAAATGAATTGGCATGCTGAAGTGCTCCCTCAGAAACCTCGGAAGACTCCATGTAGTTACAGCGTAGAAACACTGCGACAAATCACCCAAAATCTTCTGCACACTTATTTCTGTCCCAAGTCAAAAGAGACACCTTGAGCTGATACAGGTCTGGGAGACTTCATTAGTTGTAACCAAAAGAGCTTGCAGTCCCCACCGGGAAAGGTGTGGGTGAGTTGAGGAGTAGACAGATAAGTTCCCACTGCGCTGATGACTCACTGGCCTGAGTGATGTCGCCAGCTGGGTTTTCCCTGCGGGAAAATTGGCAGCTGCTGGACTAGAACATTCCACACTGCTGACAACAACTTTCCTTACCTCAGAAGACTTTCCTGCCATTCTTACTGAGAACCTAACATGCTTTCTCTTTGTATATTATTTATGCTAAAGGTGGGGACCCTGCCTTTATGTTCTGAACTGTGCATTACAGGGGACACTATATACGAGTTGTATATTCATAAAGGCTCTTTCTGAATTCTAAGTTAAAGCATCAGAGTCAAGCAGTGAGATGTAGGTACGGTCAGAACTTTTTATACACAAAGAGCACACACTATAGGCTATATAGTATATCCAAACAACAACATTTTCTTTTTCCTAAACTAAACAACGGCTTTGAAACACAAGCTAAGGGCACCTGATCTCTGTACCCGGTGGAATAAATTCTCAGTAGAGAATCACTTCATTTAATGACTTAATTTTAAGTGCAAGTTGTTTACTGAAAGGGAAGTACAGAGTAAAACTGATATATGAAGCATAAATAGCAAAATGTTCCATTTGTCAGAATTCATGAAATAAGGACATTTTTCTCTAAACTCCAGGGACCTGAGAGTTTTTGTTTTGCAACTAGAGATGTGCCTGTGCCTGAATGAATGGAACCTAAAATAATGAATTAAATTACTTTTTAACTTAATTTCTACATAACAGTTGTTGACTTTGTGGCATAGTGAATAATAAGATAATGTATATTAGAAAATGGCCCTGACTGGTGTTCGGTGGATTGAGCACTGGCCTGTGAACTGAAAGGCTCCCAGTTTGATTCCCCGTCAGGGCACAGGCCTGGGTTGTGGTCCAGGTCCCCAGCTGGGGCCGTGCAAGAGGCAATCACACGTTGATGTTACTCCCCTTCTCTTTCTCCCTTGTGTCCCCTCTCTCTCTAAAAATAAACAAATAAAATCTCAAAAAGGAAAATGCCACAGGGAATAGCTATCAACATACCTAACATGAATTCCTTGTCATTTAACCTGTTTAGCTAATACAGATTTTTCAATATATACACAGATGTGATGGCTACTTAACAGTGTTGAGATTTTTTAAATTATCCAAAGTTTTTAAAAGACTGACTGCTAGGTTGTTTAACAGTAGTTACCTGTAAGGGGTGGGTTTGGAGAAGGAGCACATTCGTTTTGTTTCTTTATGGTGATTCTCCACTGTTCACATTTGTTAAAATGAGTGTGCATTAATTTTAAATTAAATTTTATTAAATTTAAATTAATTTTAAAATAAAAGAAAGTTTGGTGATTATAACTGCCAAAAAAGATGCCCACCAATTATGAAGGGCGCTGGGTAAATAGGCAAAGGACATGGCAGTTTTGAGAGTGGGGCACTCTAAAGGTCCTTGGAGGGCTTCCTGGTGGAGTCCTGAAGGTGAGAAGGGGGGAGTCCTGTGTGATGGTTGTGTACAGGCCAGTGCCACACCCACAGGCCTTAGTGCATCCTCCCAGCCTCTGTTCTGTAAATGACCCCCGGAAATCCTGATAGAGTTGAATAAATGGATCACTGCTCATTTACTTCCTTTTTTAAAGATGTTATTTATTTATTTTTAGAGAGAGGGGGAGGGAAGGAGAAAAGGGTGAAGAGAAACATCCATGTGTGGTTGCCCCTCGAGTACCTTCTACTGGGGACCTGGCCTGCAGCCCAGGCTTGTGCCCTGACTGGGAATTGAACCAGAGAGCCTTTGGTTTGCAGGCCGGCACTTCATCCACTGAGCCACACCAGCCAAGGCTAACTTTGCTATTTCTTGATTTGATACCTAGGATGGGGAAAATATAAAATAGCATAAAAAGGACTATTTTCAGGGCCTCATGGTTCCATGTCACTGATTTCACATTGAGTCTTGTGTGATTCTAGTCCCCTCCTACAATGTTCTGACAAGGAAAATCTGATTGTAACTTACAGAGGGCACCATAGGTACTTAGGATTGAGTTGCGTGTCCCAAGATGTTCACTCTGATAGAAGACTAGCATTTGATTTCTTGGTCATTGATACAAATGAATCAAATCAGCATGTTGTGTTGTTTTTTTTAATTCTCAGGAAATATATTTATTTTGTTCTCAGATACCATATCCTGAAATCAGTAATGAGTGTAATCCTCATCTAAGTCTGAAGGACAGCCTTTCTGCAGAAACCATCAGAGGTTCCGCAGAGCTTTGTGGATCTGTGTAGGAGGGTCTTAGCATAGGAGTGCTGTCCTTTCTGTTCTGTGCCAGTGTCGTGTGGCGTGTCAGAGAACTGGTTCAGACGTGTGTTCACTCATCACACTAACTAGTTTCAAAACCTGAATCGGGCCCACTGAGAGGCCTATGTGAACTATCACGGAAGTTGAGAAGTTATATTTTGCATGGAGAGTATCTTTTTTTTAAATTCTCACCTGAGGACATTTTTTTCATTGCTTTTAGAGACAGAGGAAGGGAGAGAGGGAAAACATGGATGATTGTGTCTCGTATGCTCCTGGATAGGGAATCGTAAGTTTCTGGACTGTGGACTGCACATAGCCAGACGGGGGATTGAACCTGCCACCTAGGTATGTACCCTGACCGAGAATGAGGGACAGTAGTCCCGAGAATAGGGACTACGCTGCAGCGGAGCCACACTGGCCAGAGTGGGAGTATCGTTTTTTATACTTTCCGTGGTGTTGTCTCTTGTAAGCAGTAAAGGCCTGGGGCAGGAATGAGGTTGCGAATAAATTCTCTATTGCTTGGATTGAGGCCTGGTTATTAGCTAGGGAGATTGGTTCACTCAGGTTCCAGTAGGAACCTGCTTGTCACCTTTCGCAAGGGAAGTGTGGGCAAGGAGAAGGAACACCTACTGGACCTGGCCGGTGTCCAGCACTAGTGCTCACTAGCTGCAAGGGCTTGAGGCACACACTCAGCCTCATGCCTCCCAGACCCTAATCGTGTGGTCAGTGATGCCAGGGGGAAAATGGGAAGAACACAGACCCAGCTCAGTGAATTCTCCCACTCCTCCCTTTCCTCTGTCCACCCACATCCTCCCTGGCTTCTGGGGAAGTGGCTTCTTAGGGTTTAAGATTCATAGCGATGTTTTACTGAGTAGGGAGCTCAGTAGCAAATTTGAGCTGCAACCTATCCTAGTCTGGAGACCAAGGTAAACATGAACCAGAACATTTGAATCCTAAGAATGCTCTAGTCCAATGTACCTCCTAGTTCTATTGTTTTACCTCCTGACGCACTAAAGTAATAAGTTCCATCTGGACCATATCTTCCACCCCTAGCACAATACCTGGCGCATAAAGAACCGGGTGAATGAATTTGCAAATGATCTGACCTCACAGCTGTTATTTAAAGGATTTCAGTGCTGACCACCAGGTGGCTCTTGTCTCCCTAAGTCCCAATAGCTTCTCCAGGAAACCAGACACTGTCATAGGACCTTAAGGATTTTTGTGTTAAAGATACGTGCCCAGAGTCACTGTTAGTTTATGGCAGAGTCAGGACAGAACCTAACTCACAAAATACCAAAACTCAGAAGTCCTGCCCCTACTCCTTGAGGCCTTGGCTTCAAAAGAGCTCTTTGGGCTGCAGCCTGCTGCATCCGGAACTCAAGTCAACTGAAGAAGTCAGCAGGGCCATGGCAGAACCAGTACGCCAGGGTGGCTGCTTCCTGAGGCCTCAGTCAGTTGGTGACGCTGAGTTAGTTTCCCAGAACTTCCGCAATTTCTGCAGTGAGGCGTGAAGTACCATCCTTGACCAGCAACAACACATCACCTTGGAACTTGCTAGAAATGCAGCTTCTCAGGCTCCACCCAGACCAGCTGAACCAGAAGTGCAGGAACTGGTGTTTAAGAGGCCCGCCAAGTGGCTGATGCTGAAGAGTTCCATGTGCAAGGAAAGCCCCCCGGTGAGGGCACTGCTGACACGAGGCTCCACCATTCCACTTGCCAACTTTTCTCAAAAGTAGCCACTTTGGGGTTTAGGGGGTGGTGTGGGTAATTTCAGCACAGCAGTCGCAGGTTAAGGTCGTGTGTTGGAGTC